CAACCATCTGCACACAAATAAGTCAGTAAAACGGATGTGCACGCAAAACTCAGGCACTGGCACAATGCCAAAGTCCAAATGGACGAACAACCAGGACTTCCCGCCCTGAACTTACAGAATGTGAACATAGAAGAAGAAGAAGAAGAAGAATGTCCTTGCACATTTTTTTTAAAAATGTAAACAAACATCGGTCCTGTTCACGTTTCCCGGCCTATCTACACACTACCTGACCTTTCATTCATACTTTCTTAGACTTCTCTACAGAGGGGTACTAGTACCATCGGTATTGGAACTCTTCGCTTGCTGAAGATGTCTACGGAGCACTTATGGGAGTGTCCCGAGTGATATGATGTCGATGCTTAATTTAACATTCAACCGTTTAAGCTAACTTTAATTTCCTAATTTTCTCCAGGCGACATCGTTCCTGCAGCACTCAGCATCGATCCCGAGGAACTTGCCGCCATGCCGCCATGGAAGCGAGAACTACTATTTAAGCGAGACAAAGTGCCCGTCACATTTTCCAATGAATTCAACCCGGACGAAGATTCAGCAGCCGACGGCGACAAAACCACCAGTTGATCGTATTTATGATTTCTGAACAGCACAAGTTTGATTGATTGCAAGAATGATTTGACTATATTTCATGTAATACTGGTTTTTTTTAATCAATATCCTACCCCAGATGATGTCACAGGACAGTCCAACATTTTATAGGGTGGTAAGACTGGGTTTCCCGGCTTTCTGATGCTTTTAACGACCCAAAACATCTAGAACTGGCGCTAACCCCAACCCACCTACCTCCCACGAGAGAGTGCAGCCTAGGTCCCACGACTGCATGCAGCTATCTACCACTACTTAAAATATTAGACTCTCCCGTGACCTGTGGATTTCCCCTGTTTGCGGTAGGATATTAATAAAGCACCTAATAATGAATCGATTGTTTAGATAAAGGTGTGATAGAGGGTCTTTGGAAGATCTGACTACACTTTGTATAAAGAAAAAAAAAAACCTAAGTTTATGACATCATCAAAACATGTGCTAAAGGTCATTAAATTAGAATCAGTATTTACTACTATGAGAATGAGACAAACAAGTTCTTTGGTCATGTGAAGAGAAAGGAGCACTGGAAAATATCGTGACTACTGGAAAGATCACTGGTAGAAAAGGCAGACCAAGAGAAATGATGGTGGATGGCATAAGACAGTGGCATGGAGGAATATCATCAGTGGAATTGATCCGGAACATCAAAGACAGAGATTTGTGGATATGCATGTACGCCTAGGCCAGCTGGCAAGGCACTTGATAATCATGATGAGTTTCTGTCATGGTTTAACACTGTTTTGTGGAAGATGGAAAGAAGCAATGAAATATTCCCTTCAACACATGTTGAAAATTTCCGCCAGGGGCTTCATAACATGAGCATGCATGTCTCTTGTTGTTGTCAAAAACTTTGTGCCTTCTACAACAATTCAGGAGACTCCCACGAGGTGATGTCTTGGGAAATAAAGACGGCCGGCATGCTGTTGAGCATACCACCAGCCTAGTGCCATTAAAATCCAGGTCTTGCCCTATATTCCCCACGGATGTGACAGTGTGGAAAAGTCCTTTCACTACTTCTTCTTCTTCTTCTTCTTCTTTTTCTTCTTCCTTCTTCTTCTTGTTTTTCTTGTTCTTGTTGTTGTTGTTGTTCTTCTTCTTCTTCTTCTTCTTCTTCTTCTTCTTCTTCTTCTTCTTCTTCTTCTTCTTCTTCTTCTTCTTCTTCTTCTTCTTTTTCTTCTTTTTGCCTACATAGTTTCAATAGATTGAAACCGGAACTATGTAGGCAAAAAGAAATGGTCTTTGCCCTACGCTTACCTTGGTGAAACAGTTTGAAATGTACTCGAATTTGTGTTTCAGTTTCTAGGATTCAGCTATTTGCTTCATTTTAATCAATTGTTACTGTTGTATGCACCTGACGAGATACAGCGAAATATGCCAGGCAATAAATTGTGCAGTCTATTGTTTGTGTCTTCTTTGTTCAAATTCACATCGGGGAAACATTGCTTTAATAACTATATATTGTTTTCAATGCAATGATTTACTTCTGCAGTCGACAGTCATTCACGGCATATTACATTATGATAGACTGTGGAGCACATTTTTTGACGACTGTCATGTCCTTCGTTTTTAACATTCGTTACAGGTCACAAAGTGTAGTAAGACTTTACAAACACCCTGTACTTAATCCGCTGTTTACAGCCGTGTTCCCCACCCCACACCCCCTTTCTTTAAAGGTTTAGAGAACATTAATAAGATCATCTATTCCTTGTCCTTGATGTAAGGAATTTCAGATTGTAAGAAGAGACAGACCAAGAAAGACCTGGATACAGAACGTGACTGACTGGACAGGGTCAGACATGCAACAATTGAGTCCATCGCAACTGATCGCCAAAGGTGGAGAGAGCTGATCAGACAGTCAACAGAAACTGGTGACCCAACGAGTTACGGGATGATGATGATGATGACGATGAAGGAGAAATGGAGATAATGTTAATGCCACCAATAAAAATCAGGGCATTTTTGTGGCGGTACGCTGTACCAGCACTTTTTTAAAAGCACTACTATAATACCACTGATGAACACCGTCCCATTTTTTCACAGAAGGCCCCAACTCCTCTCCTTGGTGATGATAATCACAATAATAATAAGAATAATAATAATAATAATAACAATAATATTAATAATAATAATAATAACAATAATAACAATATTATTATTAATAATAACAAAAATAATAATAATAACAATAATTATATTATTAATAATAACAATAATAATATTATTAATAATAATATAAATTAATAATAATAATAATAACAATAATAATAACATTAATAATAATAACCAAAGACTGGCTCTAGGGAATGCTGGTGTGAAGGGCAACGAGAGAGCAGACGCTCTGGCTGGCAGTACGACTATCAGGAATAAGCCCTCTGTGGACAGGAGAGACATCATCAATGCCATACGAGAGACTAAACGCTGTGAGGCTTTCAGTTTCGTGGAAAATGACTTTTCACTGAATAGACTGCATCCCCCGGGTGTACCAACTGGAGCAGCGGGACAGGACAACCATGCGGGAGCCACATGTCGTTACATCAACCAGAACATAATGGGAGTTGTTAGCCTAAAAACACTTGCAGACATACTCACGAGGAGATATCGGAGCAGTTATGGTCATGTCCGATGTGTGATTAAGATGATTTTGAAATAAACAATGAATAATGACAGAAGGATCGAAGAAGAGAGGAGAAATTTACATCTGAGATCACATCAAGCGGTCTTCACTGTATTATTATTACGCACTTATATCAATCATACTCACATTGCCCCCCTCCCCCCCCCCCTTCCCCAGGAAGTTCGTGAGGAGGTCCCCAGAACCCCTCCCCAGACTTTTTTGTCGGTTAGCATCTCAGACATCTTACGTGTATGTGACGGGTATACAAGTGTGTGTATGAACCCAGACTTTTTTGTCGGTTAGCATCCCAGACATCTTACGTGTTTGTGACGGGTATACAAGTGTGTGTATGAACATTGATTACTTATGCTTGCAAACTGAAATGTAATTAAACCTACCATAACTATAACCAACGATTGTGTTTGTTACTGTTAGACGAGGTTAATTTTCTACAATTAGTTGAAAGTGACAGCATGATGTACCTAGGAACGAGCAAAAAAACAGAACCTTACACATGTGCGACGCTCGACGCGGTAAAAGAGGAAGTGGAAGAAGAGGAGCAGCGGTAGTAGTCATAGTAGTAGTAGCAGCAACAGTAGTAGTAATAGTAGTAGCAACAGTAGTAATACTAGTACTAGTAGTAGCAACAGTAGTCATACTAGTAGTAGTAGCAGCAGGAGTAGTAGCAACAGTAGTAGTACTAGTAGCAGTAGTAGCAACAGTAGTAATACTAGTAGTAATAGTAGCAACAGTAGTAGTACTAGTAGCAGTAGCAGCAGGAGTAGTAGCAACAGTAGTAGTACTAGTAGCAGTAGCAGCAGGAGTAGTAGTTGCAGTAGCAGGACTAGTAGCAGCAGCAACAGTAGTAGTAGTAGCAGCAGCAGCAGTTGTAGAAGTAGTAATTAGTAGTAGTAGTAGTAGTATTAGTTAGTGAGTAGTAGTAGTAGTAGTAGTAGTAGTAGTAGTAGTAGTAGTAGTAGTAGCAGTAGCAGCAGTAGTTGTAGTAGTATTAGTTAGTACTAGTAGTAGTAGCAGCAGTAGTAGTAGCAGCAGCAGCAGTAGTAGTAGCAGCAGCAGCAGTAGTAGTAGCAGCGGCAGTTGTATTAGTTGTAATTAGTAGTAGTAGTATTAGTTAGTTAGTGAGTAGTAGTAGTAGTAGTAGTAGTAGTAGTAGTAGTAGCAGCAGCAGCAGCAGCAGCAGCAGCAGCAGCAGCAGCAGCAGCAGCAGCAGCAGCAGTAGTAGTAGTAGAAAAATTCTTACAATATCAAGGACTAAGAGAAGGAAAAGCATCGAAACATGTTCAGAAGAAGAACTGGCTCACAAACAGCATCCCGTACTGACAGCAGGAAAATTTCGGCCATTTTAATATCAGGGTGGTCTTGAAGAAAAAACGGGGATGGAGGGTAGTGTCTGGAGAACGAGGCAGAAGCACATCTCCGCAAAGGTATAGCAGATATAAAGACATAAAGACACAGAAGGCTGGAGAACTGGCTAGAGAAGGAGAGACTTTCAAGCGTGCCAAATGAGAGCGATGTTCTGTAAAGGTCCTGCTGATGATGAAGAGCAGTAGAAGTTCTAGAGTTCTTTAGAACATGGAGGCGGAGGCGGTCACTGTTGGCCTGAAAACTCCAGTTGCACAAACGTGAGATAGTATCTGACTCACAGAGCATGTTGAGAAAGATAGAGATTTGGATGCTCCGTAAAGACTGGCAAGCATAGCTTCAGAAGTCCCAGGTAGTTAGCGTCATTTTGATACTTCTCCAGGGAATGCATGTGTGTTTGAAAAAAAAAAAAAAAAAAACCCAGGCAGACAGACGCTGGTTCTGCACTACTTGGTGGTAAACTGATTCATGAGAAGCTAAATGTTGTCAAGGCCCTTTGGGAGCGAGTGAACTGTGGGTAGGCATAATTAGATCATCACAGTTTGGAAAGAACAGTGCAGCCAGGTGTGACCTGGAGATCTGGACGAAGCTCAACAGTCAGGAAAAAGCAAGGTGTGTTGAGAACCTAATAGATAGACAGAGTGGCTGGTTCTGCACCACGGGGTAGTAGACTGATGCATGACGAGCTAGATGTTGTTAAGGACCTTCTGGGGCAAGAGAACAGTGCAGAAGCACAATTAGATCAACCAGTCCGGAGAGAATTGTGAGCTAGTGGTAACTGAAGGATCTGCGTGACGATCAGCACTCATGGACAAGAGGCAAGACAGACCTACAATCAGAATGTGACTGGTACCATCAGAATTACATCTTTCCCAGTAAAGACAGGTGTAAGACAGGGATGTGTTATGTCATCTCTCCTCTTCAACTTGTGATTGATTGGATACTAAAGAACACAGTAGACAGGACATTAAGAGGCATACGA